TTAGGGTTTAGGGTTTAGCATTTCTGGCAGGTTGCCCGTAGTCTCCAGGAAGCATACTTAAAGCATCCTGGGGCTCAGCAACCGATCCGCGCTGAATGAGATAACTACAGTTTCAAGCATAGCCTTCCCTGTGTCCCCAAACCCTACAAAATAGTAGGTCATGACCCCTTTTAACGGGTAATAGGGTATATTTATAAGCCCCAAAACATAAAAACAGTAGCTTTGGGGACCCCCATGGTACGTCCTAAGTCCCATGATCCTCCGAGTAGGGCGTCCGGATCCCGGGTTCAGGGATTTGGATTCCAGGTTGAGGGCCTCGGCTCTGGTGTGCAGGGCCCAGCGGTCCGGGATATTACTAGGGCACCTTAGGGTTTAGTGTTTAACTAAACCCTAAACCCTGAATCTTTAAACCCTATATAAGCCCTGAATCCCTAAACCCTAAACCCTGAATCCCGAAACCCGAGGTTGACATCGCCGGCATGGCCATCTGCAGCTATGAGGACCAGCCCAAGAAGTTGAGCCGCTGGCAGATTGGTGAACAACTGGGCTTCGTCGCCGTGACTGATGACCTCAACGTATCTTGCCGGTGCTTAAGGGACTGCGGAGGAGGAATATGTACATATCTGTATGTATGTGTGTATATATAATAGAGAGCTAAATATCTAGCTGTATATACATATATATATATATGTGTGTATATATAACATAGATAGATAGATGTCTGTGTGTGTGAAGATAGGGAGAGAAACAGAAAGATAAAGAGAAAGATAGAGAGAGAGAGAGAGCGCGCGCGAGGTTCGATTTTATGAGGGATTATACCCAACGCTCCTTTCAAAGATCCAGTCCCTTCGGCACAAGTAAGGTGTTGATCTTCGGCGGTGCCGGGGGACTATCTTTATTCCGGAAAGCCGATGGACACATCACTCGCTTATACCATCCTGAGCAGAGAGTCCACCCAAACAACCGCTTCAACGATGGGAAGATTGATCCCGCTGGTCGGCTGTTTGCTGGCACAATGGACATGTACAAGCCTCGTAAAGAGGGTGTTGGCGCGTTGTACTGCATGCAGTGCAACACACTGAAGAAGGTGGAGGCTGTGGGGCCTGTGACAGTGGCGAATGGCTTAGGGTGGAGCCCGGACAACCTCACGTTCTACCACACTGACAGCCCAACACGCGCGATCCGTGCCTTCAGCTTCGATATCCGCACTGGTGCTGTCCACGGCCCAGCCAAGACTGCCTTCAGCACCGCTGAAGGGGTCCCTGATGGCATGTGCGTGGACAGTGAAGGCTTTCTGTGGGTGGCCAACCTTCGCGCAGCGCAGGTCTTGCGGGTGAACCCAACAACAGGACACATCGTCGCTCGTGTCCGGCTCCCTGTCCCCCTTGTTACCAGCGTTTGCTTTGGCGGACCGTATTTCCGTACTCTGTTTATTACAACCGCAATGGGCACCACCGATGTCGACATTGCTGAATGCACCGATGCCAATGCCGGATATGTCTATGCAGTGGAGGTTGACATCCCTGGAATGCCCATGAGCCCATTGAAGCTTGATGGCCGAAGCTGTTGAAGCTTTGAATCCGGGTTTAACCCTGTAGTTTAGAGGGCTTAGGCCTGCCAGCTGTGCTGAAGGATCCGCCTTCGAGAAAATTCCGATCGAGAGCAAAGCACATATGTCTTGATGATCTGATAGAGCACCAGATGCTGCTTTCGTCATAAGCCTACCCACCTGAAAGAACTCATGGACATCTGCGCAACTGGCAGGTTCATGCTGGAAGAAGCTGTCTATTTTAGACATTGGAAATTTAGAGATGTTGTCCCTTTTCGCCCCTTCATACAACTTGCTAGGATTCCCCCTTTCAACTCCCCTATTGATTTATTCAGGTCCCGGCATGCTGTTTCCTTCAAGGTAGTACTTATTCTCGCACCACTGCTCACACTACGCAGCCCCAACATCCAATGGGTCCTATTTACCTGCGTGTGATAAATTAGGCTTTTGTGTAGTAGAAATTAAAATTATGCTTCGGGTAAGTAGCCCCCATGTAGGTACTTAGGACTTAGGACTCGTTGGCAATCCCTATTGAACCTACTTCTGTCCCTAGTTTGCTTCCCCTCCCCGGCAGGAGTTCGTCGTGGAGCACGTTGCAAAACAGACAGCTCGGTCGTTATCTGCAGAAGTGCCCTTGGTGGCTCCCGGGCCTTGGTGGCGCAGAAAACCATTGAACTGAAGTAGTATACAAGCTTGAACAACTGCCAGTCGTAGCAGTTTTAGTCCGTAGGTTTCCGTGATATAGCCAACTGGTTATGCCAAGTATACTCTACCCCAAAACCCCCTTTGAAGTACCGGGCATTAAGGCCAAACATGTCAGACACATCGTCAATGAGAACTTGTCCATAACAGTACTTCTCCAGAATTCAGACAATAGGTAAGCATGTGTGAAGCTAGACTAGAGTCCAGTACCACACTCAGAATTGTCCCAGACACTCCAAAACCCCTTAATTAAGGAATATACCTTAAATCTTATTAGGGTTCCTATTATAATTTAAGGTATATTCCTTAGTTAAGGGGTTTTGGAGTCTCTGGGGTCTTTGGCACTTCAGACTTCCCTATTTGGGTACTTGGACCATTGGGGAGACCCACCCCAAACCCTATAAACCCTCAACCCGATTTAGGTGCCAGCCCGAAAGCCTTGTATATTAGGGTCTTTGGGCCCAAAAGTCCCTAAAATATGAGTCCTTTGAGGGTAAGTGCTAGGGTTTAGGGCTGGACTCAACCCTAAACCAGCATCCCCGTTTCCGGAGAGAAGGTGCTCAGGTGTCTGAGACAAACTGAAACAAAATCTGAGCCCTTACCTGAACCCAAATAAGCTATCCTCTTAGGGCTTTAGGGCTCCTCATGCTGATTTCCTCAGATCCTCATACGAATCCTGACAAGGTAACTTGTAAGCACCCCTGAACCCTAGACCTTAAACCCTAAACCCCTAAACTTCCTAAACCCTAAACCCTAAACTTCCTAAACCCGCTAGACATCCTAAACCCTGAAGCATTCGACCAGGCGAGGAGTGGCTCGCCGGGGGAGGCTCGCTACACCTTGGCCGGGTCGCTTTGACAGCTCTTGGTGGGCTTTATAGGGCTTTAGGGGCTTATGGTTTCAGAATTTGCCAGCTTTTGGTGGGCTTTATAGGGCTTTAGGGGCTTATGGTTTCATAATTTTGGAGTTCAGGGCTTTGGTGCTTTAGTTTCAACTTTTAGGGTATACCGGTTTAGAGCTTGGGATTTAGGTCTCAGAGTCCAAAGTTTCTGGTTTCAGGTTCGAGTCTGTTGTGCTCTTTCGGTCAGAGCAGACCATGCACGATTAAGATTCCTTCCTCTCTTTCGGGTGAAAGGGCACCCTTTTTGTTTGCAATGCGGATTCTGGTATGCTCTAAACCCTACACTGCAATCGCTCTTTTGTTTACATAGTCTTTTCGTCGCGGGGCTCTTGGGGACAGCAAAGACCTTGACTAGGACCAGGGGCTTTAGCCAAACCTCCGGGAGGAGCCAAATTAGAAGCAGAACTAATTACTTTAGTACTGCGGTTTAGGGTTTACGCAAGACGTCATACTGTTCCCATCGTAAGGGCTCCTAATCACAACACCGGAGCGCTTCCCCCGCAAGCCTTGTTCTAATGACTAAGGCCTCTACGTTCGAAGCAGCTAGATGCCTTAAGTTGTTTCCTGCACTGTATTTCCGTGCAGTACCCAGACGGATCCAAAAAGAAGATCCCTTAAGATGGTTACCCTCCAAGAGTGCTTGGTTACCATGAGGGGTTCTTTAAACCCTAAACCCCAAGACTTATGCCCTCAACACTTTAGAGAAGCCCACATGGGGTAGCTCTCTAAGTTGGGGCCCCTCTGTAGGTCCCCAACTAAATACGGCACCCTGATACATGGCACCCCACAAGATGGGCCCTACTGTAGAGAACTAGCCTTATCGTAACACCTTTGTAGATCCCTTTCGGGAACCCTAAACGGGAGCCGAATTTAGAGAACTACCCCAAACCCTAAACCCTAAACCTAGTAAACCCTAAACCCTAAACCTAGTAAACCCTAAACCCTAAACCCTAAACCCAGTAAGCCCTAAACTCTAAACCCTGGTACCTAGTAAACCCGAAGCTCTAAAGCTCAGGTTGGGATCTTGGCTCGAGAGGTGATGGCCCTCCTGGGCACCCACGACGCACCGAGGTCTCTGGAGGTCGGAGTTTAGGGGTTTAGGGTTTAGGGTTTAGGGGTTAGGGTTTAGGGTTTAGGGGTTTAGGGTTTAGGGCTTTAGGGTTAGGGTTTAGGGGTTTAGGGTTTAGGGGGTTTCGGGGGTTTAGGAGCTTAGGGCTTGGGGGAGTCTTGGGGGCTTTAGGGAGTTGAGGGGATTAGGAGTTTTGGGGGGTTTTAGGGTGTTTAGGGGGTGATGGAGTTTAAGGGGTTTGGGGGTTTTAGGGGTTTAGGAGTTTAGGGGGTTAGGGGCTTAGAGGTTGGGGGGGTTTTAGGGGTCTAGGGTTTACGGGTTCAGGGGTTTAGTCTGGGGGTTTATGGTTTCAGGGGGAGCTTGCTGTCGTTTCGTTGTGAGAGGAGGGGATTGTGGGGCGTATTGGGTTTGGGTCTGGGTTGAGGGTTTCGGATTTAAATAGATGAGGTTGACCAGACTATAGTTTAAGCTTTGTCGGTATTTTCAACATCATGTCAGATTTGTCCGTAATGCGAACATATTCGGTGAGTACTCTCCTAAAACCCAAACCGTCGGTGTTACTTTATATTCGTGCGGTGGTTCATATCGAGCCAGGACAGCCAGGATGTGCAACCGGTCAGCGAGAAATACGCAGCTCGGCCCCACCGCGATCGCTGGCGTGCTATTAAGGCACTTACCTCTGCCCGGCAATTTAGTAACCTGAGTTGTGGTTAGGAAGCTCGGCCAGGAGTAGGGGTATAGCAACACTACAGAACCCTAACCCTAAACCCTAGACCCTAAACGCTAAACCCTAAACCCTATAGGATAATGTAATCAACAGCAGGGAGTTGGGTTCCGACTCTTTGGCCGGGCCCCCCTGCAAGTAGTCAGGCGGTTTGGAAGGACCCAGGCCCAGGGTAGGTTTTTTTCTTTGTGAATCAAGACCCGGGACAAGGGGTAAGATGACGCGATCAGTAGTGATCCATCTGCATATGAATGCGCCGTCCGGCGTCGGCATTTCAGTGCGTCAGTGATGCCGACGGTGTTTCGTGGTCCTAGGCTGGCACATTTCTTCTGCTATGGCACCCGTAAACCCTAAACCCTGAACCCCTAAACCCTAAACTCTGTATCCCAGGTGGACGACATCACGCAAGAGCCAGTCTGGGACAAGACCCCCGTGTGCCTGCGCGAAGGAGGCGTGTTGGGTTCGGAGCCTGTAGTTTGGGGTTTAGGGTTTAAGGTTTAGGGCTGTAGTTCCAAGGCCTCGTGTTGCTTCGGCGGCACAGGGTGTCGGCAACATACCCACCGCTACTGTCCCTCCCCGCACCACTTAGCACCACACCACCACGAGCAGCAACAGCACAAAGGGACGATGGGAACGACCGGCAGTGACGATACCGGAATATCGCATAACCCTAAACCCTAAACCCCAACACAAACACCCTTAAACCGGACCATGGAGGACCAAATCCGGAATCCTCTCCTAGCTGCCCTGAGAGGTATCCTCTCCTGGGTACGGCCGAGTAGCGAGCGGCCGACGCTGCAGGCCACTGTATGGCTTTTCTTGGGCTTAGGGTTCAAGAGCTGAGACTGAGTGGCGAAGTAGTTTTGGGTTTAAAGTTTAGGGGTTAAGCAATAGATAAGGCCTCAAAGAGGCTACTGCTTATTGGTTTTATGGTGGGTAAACTACATATTTGCTCTCTCCCTCCATATCTCTCTCTCTCTCTCTCTCTCGCTCTCCCTCGCTCGCTCTCGCTCTCTCTCTCTCTCTCTCTCTCCCCCTGTCTCTCAGTGAGTATATACATATATATATACACACATATATATATATATATGCATGCATACATACATATGCACATACACGTACATACATACATTCATACATACATGCATGCATACATACATATATAAAACACACACACACACACACGTATATACATATATACATATATACATATATACATATATGTATATATATATACATACATACATATATTCACACACACATATATATATATATATATGTATTATGTGTGCGCTTATATATATATACATATAATATGTATTATGTATATATATATGTAGATATGCATACATATATATATATGCATGTATATGCATTTATATGTGATCTTATATCTTGTCTGTGATATGTATACTCATATACTACGTGTATGCATGGATGGCTGGCTGGGTGGGTGGGTTGGTGGGTGGGTGGATGGATGCATGGATGGATGGATGGATGGATGGATGGATTGACATGTATGGATGGACATGTATGCAAGCGTATGGCTTCCTGGGCGTATAGATGTACAGATGTACAAAGGTACATATGTAGAGGTTTTTATGTCTGTCGATGTGTGTATATAG